CACCTTGTTGTCGGCACGCTGCGCTGTAAGAAATGGAGTACCATACGAAGATCCGGCGACAGAAGCAACCGGACGATCAAATGGGAAACATTGTCTTCGGTGGACACGAGAGCGAAATTTGCAAACAGCATCGCACGACGGTTTTAACAGATCGCAGTGATGACAACTCATGTTGAAACTGAGTGGCTGTTGTTTAACAGAGGCATACTCGAGGTTGCCGCCGAATACTGCAGATATTAACGCTTTGGCCTGCCGGCTGGAGGTCAGAAAAGATCTTCATGGTGGACACGAGAGGTACAACTGACAGTTGAAGAGAAGAAAACAGCGTTCAAGAAATGAGTTGGAAACAAAGAGCCTTCTACTCGCGTGCAATATGTCGAAGCCCACAAGGCGGCAGCAAAAGCTTAAACTGATTCCTGATGGAAGTACGTTGAGGTGTTGGAGTCGAATTTCCACAGGACAAACAAAGTATTCTGGCATACCATTCGTCGGCTCTGAGGTTCAAAGAAGGACAGTCTCGGAGTCTTGAAGGACAAGTCGGGGCACCCTCTTATCAAGAATAAGAACCTTCTTCGGCAATGGAGAGAGTACTTTGAGGAACTCCTTACCTCTGAGTGACCTCAGGAAGACTCGCCTGTAGAGCAGCAGGGAATGGATATTACTATCCTTATCGATGAAATAACACAAGCTGCGAAAAGCCTGAAGAATGAGAAGGCTGCTGGAATTGATGAAATCCGCCCTGAATTGCTCAAGCCCTTGGGCGACCAAGGCAAGTGCTTGCTTACATGTGTCTGTCAAACTATGCGATGACTACGGGGAAGACACCAGTTGACTGGAGAACGGGAGTTGCTGTACCCCTATTCAAGAAGGAAGAAAACAGAGCGTGCTCCAATAATAGGGCCATTACGTTATTGAGCCTCCCAGGTAAAATCTACGCAAAGGTGCTAGAAAGGAGGTACCGCGGAATGACTGACTCCAAGATGCAAGAAGTGCAGTGTCGCTTCCGGCCCGGTCGATGCATATCTGGCCATTTATTTGCCCTGCGATAGGCTGTTAAGATATCGTGAGAGTACGTCCGTCCGGTGTACATGTGATTTTTTGCCCTAGAGAAAGCCTATGACCGAATCTCACGTAGCAGTTTTTGGTCATGCCTTCGTGCATACGGGGTAGATGGCCAGCTGCAAAGGGCCATCCAGTCACTTCATTCTGATTGCAGGTGCTGCGTCAGAGTAAATGGCGTTAAGTCGAAGCCTTTCAACATTGGCACTGGTCTCCGCCATGGCTGCGTCCTGTCCCGTCTCCTGTTTGTGTTCTAAAGGTTGGATAGAATAGTCAGGAGCAGCCAAAGCTGTGACTGAATCGGGTTAGGAGATGTTCAGACGAAAAGGTTGCTGTTTGATGGCGGTCTTATTTTATTGGCATCTTCTGAAAATGATCTACAGTGCTCCCTGGAAAAGTTCTCAGGCGAATGCGACATGATCAGCATGCGTCCGAACCCATCTAAAACGAAACGCATAGTGCTTTCTCGTTTTCTTCCCGATTAACGGAGAGGTAGTAGAGCAGATGGAGAAGTTCAAGAACCTCGCAGTCATGTTCATCAGTGATTGAAGGTTTGAAGAAGAGATCGACCGGCGAATTGGCGTAGCCAGTGGCGTTCTGCCTGAACTAACGCGATATGTTGTGACTAATGCAGAGCTCAGCCTGAAAACTGAGCTCTCCTGTTCAAGTCGATCTTTCTACCCATGATTACAAACGGTAATGAGTCGTGGACCATGACTGATAAACTCTGATCCCGGATACAAGCTGCGAAAATGTGCTTTCTGAAACGAGTCGTGGCCATGCACGTCTCGACATGGTCCGGAATACAGACATCCGGGGAAGCCTTGATGTACAGCCTCTGCTTCTCGAGGCTCAGATGTCACAGCTGCGATGATTTTATCGTGTGTTGCAAATGGCTCCAGAAAGGATCCTTTAGTAACCGTTTCTTGCCAAACCGGCCGGCAGTAAGCCCAAGGACAGAGAAGATTAAGCTCGTGCAAGTATATGGATAGAGTCTGTTCTAGACTCTAATTGTCTTCTGCCGAAGCTCAGACTCTTATACAGGATCAGAAACGATAGAAGCAATGTCTGACTCGTATGCTTAAAGGAGAAACAGCCATAGACGATGAAGATGAATATATAACTATGCATGACTAATGATTATCAACTTTAATGAAAAATTACTGCATAAATCTACTGGAAATGTTAGAAGAATTGATGTCACTGAAAAAATATGATCCGGATGTTCTTTGGGGCCACTCGATGCCGCCGTTGAAGGTATTACATTATTGCATTTATATTTTATGTTAATGTAATATCTTCAGCAGCGGAATCGAAAGGTCCCCAAGAATGTCTGGATTATACTTTATCATGCATTACCTGCAGATTGTGGCAATCTTGGTTGAATAAACTCAGTTTAACTCTATTATGAGACACGGTTCTGCTTCCG